TGTTTCTTGTTTCCACGTGAATAATTCTTTCGCACTTCGATCTTGCTTGATTCCAAAATCCAATCCATTAATCAGTTGACTTTTTCATTAATTATTTCGAAAATTGTTCAATATCGCAAAAAAAAAGAAGATGAAATACAACGAATTAGGTGACTTCGATCGCTATCCTACTCACACGCGTGGGTTCATTTTTTAAATCTTTCTCATCGTTTCTCGCGAAGTGATACTTTCTGTTCCTTGGGGGACATTCTTAAATCTTCTGCGATGAATTTTTCAATATAAATTCCAAGCAACGCCAAAATAGTTACTTTTTTATATAGTTCATCGAATCTCCAGCTGGACAAATTGTAAAGTACAAATTAAATAAATAGAAAAAAACTTTTTGATACTCTCCATTAATGTCGCCACCTCTCAACCAGATGGCGAACCAGACCAGTTAAATCGTAACTGTTCGATTATGATCGCGAACCTTGGACGATACTAACGCCCATGATGGAGGATTCATCGAAGAGTTCTACCGCGACTGTGATTTTGAATGTTTATTTGAGGAGTTCTACTATGATTGCGATGTTGAAGTAAGCTTGAAGCGTGACTTGAAGCGTCTATATGATGTTACTGTACGATTTGATTTACGAAGCGTGATGTGCGTGGGATGTAGAGGATGTGTAGCGTAACTCGTTTGCGATCTCATATCCGGTGGTCTTTCGTCGAGTTCTAATTTGAGATCGAAGTTTATGACATGGTTTGCTATCGAGAGGACTCGTCGAGCGCTTAAAACTGCCAACTGAGTCGTCGACGTGATCCGAGTTACAAACTTTGTAACGAGCAATATGTGAAATTCCAAATTCTCGAAAGTAGCAGACGTGCTGTTCCTGTCGTAAAGTTGGGCTGATAATCTTATAGGCTCGACAATTAATAAGCACCCTGTAATTTGTGTGGCGGCACTCGACCACGGAACTTTCCAACGGCTTCGCGACACAAAGCGCTATACCTTCAAAGCGTAAGACCGACAGGCCTAATATGCCGTCGATATCTCTACGGTTTCACCGAATATTCGAAAGAATGCACACGTGGCAACGGAGCATACGTAGTGGGGATATCGAGGGGCAACAAAGAAAAGAATCTGTTTGGTTTCGACCAAAGATTCATTTTCTGTCCCGAGTTGCGAAGTGCGAAAGGTTAAGCGTCATAACGAAGCAAACACAATTAGAGAAACGGATTATTGACGTTAATAATCGTTAATCGTTATGTGTTCTTAATTGTTAATAGTTTAATAAACTTTATTGTTGAACATCAAGAGCATTTCTTGTGGGCACCTTCACCAACGATCACCTCATTTGTACATGTGTTTTTAGATTGGTTTCAAGCTTGACCACTACAATCGCGATAGTCGAGTCTCATAATAAGAGTGTCATAAAATTTTAAAATGTTTGTAATACGCGTAACGTATACTTATATAAGATTTTTCTTTTCTTTTAATTTCTGCTGTACAATTTGTCCAGCTGGATATTTGGTAAATTTTTCTAACTTTATTTCTAAATAACATGCGGATGTCTACCACCACGAGATGTTTAGTGTGTAATATTGTGTGAGTTGATACGACAGATCTCTTAGCAAAAAATAAGAGAAGTGGCGTAAAATCTTTCAGTGTATACATTGCGCATGCTTTTATGAGAAAGCATACCGAAGTGTACGTTGAACTGTATGGAATATATATTGAACATGAACACATTGTAATATATACGTATGTGTACTCGTACGATAACGTCTTATTAATGAAAACGCCTCGTATAATTAAAATTGGATTTTGAAATCAAGTTTATTCAGGCTTCCTCTGCTTGTTTTAACGAGTACTATATATGCTGCTGAACATTGTTCCCAACTTTTATATTAGGTTGTCCCAAAAGTTTCTTCCGTTCGATAAGGAAATAATAGATGTACAACATTTTGTGTTTTATATTATTTCATTGAATCATGTATGATCGTTTTTGTTCTATTATTAGAAAATGTATGTAATTACTAAGAAATAAAACAAAACACTAGTAATAGAACGAAATGGATCATAGGTAATTCCATAAAATAATATAAAACAAAAAATGTTGTGCATTTATTGTTTACTTGTAAAACGTACAAAGCATAGAGACTTGAATCGTGTCAATGATGAGTACGTGAAACGCACACACGATCTTTCAACTTTCTTCTATAGCCTCGCTAATCTCGTTTCGTAATAATACATTGCTTCCTAGTTGAGAATGGAAAGAAATCATATTGTAAACAATAGTAGTGAGAAACCATCTATCTGATTTTTAATGTTTGACGTACATAATAGATAGCGCTATCGTTGCTTGGGCTATGTAGGCTATCCTACGTAACTAGGACAATAAATGACTAGGCAATAGGTCCGAATTGGAGATAGAAAATTAGGAGATAGAAAACAATTCTTTTAGGCAAAATTAAATACTTTCGAATGATACATGATCCGGTATAATGGCAGAGTCTTGATTATACGGCGTGACGTCACCGAACCTATATTAGATAATCGAAGACTCGAAGAATAAGAGTCCGTGCGTGTTAGTAAATCACGCGATAGAATCATAAAAAAAAAATATTTTAACATAATAATCGATATTTTATGCTTTATGATTAAACTGTCGAAAAACATGAAATTATCGTAAAGTTCAAAGCATCTCGGATAATACGATTCGGTTAATCAGGATTGGCATAACCAAGACTCCGTTGCATTACATATATCCACTTTAGAAGTGACAATATTTTCAAGATTTTAAGGCTGTCTCTACTCTTTTAAAATAGACTTGTGAAACTTTTTTTATGCAACGATCCATGGATTCTTTTATTCCTTACGCAAAAGTACTAGGATATCTGTATGTGAAAATGTTTAGTTTGAAAGATATCTCGATTCTAATCTCATCGAACTGGGTCTACGAAAGGCAAGAGAAACATAATTCTAAAAATGCTTTCTTGTACTCGCTTATCTTTCATACGATATGTTTATCAATGTTAAAATTAACAAAATATCATTCGTACGATGCATTGAACGGAATATCATTCGTTTATAGAAACAAAACATTTTCCTCGCACACATTCGCAAATGTGTCTCGCGAATTGACTTTTATCGTTCGCATTTGCTTGATTCTAGATACATATGTATATGTATAGTTCTGTTGGAAAAAACGAAGGTGATTTAAAATTTTCAAAACGTCACTACTTTCCAAGCGAACACCTAGATCATACGTCGTTCGAAATTTAACATAGTTTAATTTTGCCTGACGAAATTCCTCTCTATATACTGTCGTGTTCAGAGCTTCAGCCATGAGCAGAAAAAAACAGAAAGTATTTAAATGAAGGCAAAGTCTTTGTGCTCTGCAACGAGCCACATGGATTGTATCGAGCCCGCAAAATTCTTTGAACGTCGTGATGTTTTATCGAAAATATTTATTTCAAGCTGCTATATAAAAGCTCCAACAGAAACAGTTACGAAAAAACTAAATCGCAGACTATAACTATCCCAATTACGCTTCTTGTATCAGCTGTCGATTCTACATTATATAATAATTTTTTTTAATTCTATGTCAGTTCCGAAACATTTAAGTTCTTCGTGACAGTTAATAAAAGACCCTTCGTAACTGTTTCAAGAACAGGACACCGATACGGTAAGAGTTTCCAAGCCAAGTTGCGTGACCAATTAGACCAAAGTAATTCATCGGTCTACATAGTAGATGACAGAACGATTGCACAACTACCAATCGACTAAACGAACAATACCAGAAATCGGTTTATCGTCGTTTATTTTTCCTTAATCGTATCAAGGTAAAATTCATCGATACGTACCTGACCAATAATATCCGGATTATTCTTCAAACTGTCAAACAACAATTCGCCAACACTGGTATATTGACTATCGAGCGATATCACTTTTCCCTTCATTACTTTGTTTTCGATCCTGAACAGTGGCTCGGTCTAACAACAATAATGCGACGAAAGTATCATAATGTTAGTATCTTCTGTGTTACGTTAAAACGAAGCAAATAATACTTGCGAATTGTATTCGCCAAACGTCTTACGTTATTGTTTGCTGGTTCTTCACTGACGACCATATTGACGATTGTCTTTTTAGAAGAAAATAAGTAATTTTCCCAAATAACAAAATTTTTCTTATAATATTATCGAACAACTTTTTTATAGATTTATGGATCGATGCAACGGAACGTCAGATACATCTGACGGTGATCGTCCAGCGACTAGATAAAAATCCTACGATGACAGGCTTTTTCTTTATGTGCAAGCCCCCCCTCGACGGGCTTTACACACACTGAAACTCGCTTACGGTTGTAGTTTATGATTAGCCTGCCTATGATTGGTCTCCTGTAATCTTAATAATACCTTTGTTAATGACTTGTATTTTGAATTTGAAATTCGTGTATGTTCTTGATTACGTAATGACAATTTTCTATGTTTTCCGTTTCGTATCTATACGTTCTTATTGCTTGCTCACATCCCTTCTGTCTGTGTGTATAGAAAGCATTTCACATTTCTCTCTTTTATTTAATATTTTTGTATTTTTATACGTTACTAGCGAAACTGGGTACCGTTATCTTCAGCAAGGCAGGTTCAATTCAAACGAGTAATAAGCGAGAACTTCAAAAAGTAGCAGATTCAATCTCTTGCCGTATCTCTTCAATTTCTAGTCTTGGAAAAAATGTAAATGTTTCCAATCTATTCATCTTCTGTATCATAGACTCTCACGCTCGTTGCATCGTAATCTGTATTTCCTATATCGATTGCCTGCTATATCTCTTTATCGATATTTCCAATGGTATATGTGTCTTTTTATGATATTTTTATTTTGCCTTCGCTTATAGAATGTATCAACAAGGTTTGACTCGAGAAATCTGGGACGACTTCTTTTATATCATTTAATTTGTACTTTACAATTTGCCCAGCTGGACTGATCACTCAGTCCAGCTGAGCAAATTGTAAATTTTTCTAACAGAACGACTTACATACGATTGATATTGTTGAAAGAATACTTTGCATCAAGCATATTATAAATTAATCGTTTATGCATAAGATAAAAAGTATGTTTTAAGTTGAAGCGTTTCTTAGGATTGTTATTCATTCCAAGGAAATACGAGAGAAGGAGTTTTTCCAATGTACAATGCCATCCACGAGCGACTTTGATTGGGGACGACCAGGACCCATCCTTACTCGCCAATCTCTTTCTCGTCAGATTAGCAACGACGACTGTTGCCCTTTCTTTCCTAATCAAGATTGTTATCAAGGAATCCGATAGTCCCGTCTAGACACACCCATCAGTAGTTTTCTTCTTTATCATCACTGTTACCGAAACTCACTTACTAGTCTATCTTCGATCAGTTGACATCTTAATTTCTCTTCGTCGAGAACACGTCTACACGCACCACGTGTAAACACTTAAGTTTTTCAAGTCGTTGTAAATAAAGCGTATTTTTAATCTGTTAACTCAGTGTTATAATAATTTCAATCGCCTCTATTATCTTAACGGAAATAGGGAATCGGCTGATTTGTAACGTTGATTATCGTATCGTAACAAAACATCGTAATATTGGTTTATTTCAAGCTGAGTTGTGCAAGATAATAAACACGATGAGTTTCTATCTTATAACAATTGTTCGTTTTTCAGTTCGTGTCATATTATTAGAGGTATCGTCTTACTGAAAAGTATGAAATTTCGTATCATTTGTGGAATACTAAATATACTATACTACATAAAAGATAATTGTAAATCTATCTATTCAAACGATTTAATCCGCGTTCTTATATTACATCGTAGAATTTGCAGCGAAAGATAGAAAGAAAAACGCGTCTGCAATTTTACCAAGATAGTGGAATAAATCAATTAAGTCTTCCTTAATATTCATATTGTGAAATTTTTAAAAAGTGATATATATATATAAATGGATAGCATAAACGTTTCTGCCGACGTTTATGCTACGCAATTGTTGCCTTCTAAATATTACTCTGCAGTTGTTGCATAATATTTGGGTAATTTTCCATTTTAATCTCTATCAGCAGGAGTCACACTTAAATATTAGTATTTAAATTCATATCACTTTTATTTATTTATCTTATCTTGATTTATTTTCAAAAATTATCTCTAAAAAATGACTTGTGAATTTTTAATTATAAATTCGCAAACAGGCTTTATCATTAAACATTTGCTTCGTAATATTCGTTATTAATACGCTATTAATTTTAAAAAAGATTTCTGCTTTATCATACTATCACACAGTGATCACGGAATTAATAGATAAATAGATAATAAATCTAAATAATTTATCGTAATTGAAACGTTCTATCTGAACGAATAAATTCTTTAATTCGTTTATTTCGAAATAGATACCGTTCCTTTCTGTGACCTTAGTGCTTTCTGTTCTTCCAGTCTTTTTCGCAACGCGTCGATCTCTGGTGAGCTAACAGGCTGTAATCGTTGCCGTGATTTAGCCAGAAAAACAGCACGCCTGAAAATTGATAAATAATTGCTCTTACAAATGAATTCTTTTCCTTCTTAGGATCGTTTTGCTACGATGACTGTAGCTTTACTAAAATAAATTTAAACGTGTTCTCGCCTATCATTTTTCTAAAGGCGCGTTAACGCAATATTTCATTTTATTGTTTGCGAACCCTTCAATTTTTTACATTTTCAGAATTTCAAATTAATTGTTGAGCAAGACTATTACGTTTATGGGATATTTACGTATTGCTTCGGTTCTAATATGAGAAACATTGTGTTACGTCCGGTGACTCTCTACGCGCGGACTATGTCACACGCTGTAACACATTGAATTCAAAAAAAAAAAATCACTCTCCTGTGTTACATTTTGTATCATTTCTTTTATCAATAAAATATAAAAAAGAAGGAAATTAATTTCTTTTTCCTCGTTTTTAAAGCTCACTTCTTTCACTTTATATACCGTTTTTGTTGTCAATAAACTACATAAATGTTAGGAATTCTTCCATATTTTTACTACAATTAACTTACCGCAAATAATTAGCGATATGTAATAGTTTTACAACTAACTTGCTCGCTTTATATTCTTCGAGCGCTTTTCTCGTTTCGTTGATCAAGTTTTTCTGCCTTTCGCGTTCTCGATAAATAACAGATTTTCTCTCCTTTGTTTCCTCGTCCAATTTCATCTTGGTCCAAAATAATCTCTCTTTCAACTGTAGTATCGTGGAAATTAAGATATCAATTTTTCCCCGATTACATACTTTGATTTACTTACTCTAATTTATTAATAATGAATTGAATATACAGGTGTTAATTGGACAGAAAACGATGTTTCTTTAACTGCAACTAAATGCGATACTCGTATCTACCTCAAATAACTTTACAGTTATTTGGCAACTCTCGTCTTTAACACACTCTCTCTCTCTCTCTCTCTCTCTTCTCTCTTCTCTCAACTCTACTCTCCGATGTCTCGATCAACTCTTTCAACTCTACTCTAACGTTGTTTATTGTTTTTCTCGTATCCCTGTAAGAACTAGGTGACTTTAATCACATAGACGCTCTTAAACGTGATCGAATCACAGAAAGACGACGTACACGGTTTTTCCTAATTTCAACCGATCTCTAATTCAAATAAAGGGAGGATAATAATTGACTAAAGGGAGGAACACTTGAGGCACGATAAGCTAATCGTTAATTATTAATCGTTTAATGGAAATGCTACGAACCTCAGCCAAGGACATTTCACAAAGAAGACCAAGACCGCTTGATTCTGTTGGATCGAAATCCTTGATCGATGGCAATGCCCGTAAAGATTGAAGCGTCTTAATTTCTTGGATCAATTTAATCTTCCTGCCAGTTTCTTCCTCTCTCTGCTTGACCAACTGGGCTTTCAATTGCCGCGATTCTTCGGTCACCTCTGCGGCTGATAGTTCGAAAAATTACCATTTTATTAATTTTTCCTTAAGGAAATATTTTTAACGAAGACGTATTTTTATTAATATTCGTTATAGAGGAAATTATAAATGGGTCAGAGTACTTCATTTACGAAAAAGGAACAAGCCAAGGTTTATCCTAGCTGTAATACAGAATTTTTTACCTTTCTGCCTTTTCTCGTCGACCATGGCATTAAAAGCTTCACGAGAGGCCCGTTCGACTTCGCGGCACTTTACAACGATTTCCATCATCTCCCTGTTGTGATTCTCTCTCCATTTCTCTAACTTGTCGTAAAGTTCTTGCTTCTTTAAGAACAAAGTGACGAGAAAAGAAAAATTCATATCCTAAATTCATATCTACTAAAATATTTACGTAAAGGAGATCGATCGTTGATAGAAACTTTTATCTGATATCGTCATTCCTTTCACTATCTTACACAGGAATATTAAGATCGTCTGTAATCATTCGATAAAATACGTATCTTCTATCAAGCGCATACCTCCTTTCGAACGCTCTCTGCGTGCGCTTTCACATCGTTCAACAGCGATTGTTTCGCAATGAAAGCATTCTCACGGCTTAGCAAAGCCAATAGATGTTTCTCTTGTATCTTTAATAATTCTTCCTCTTTTTGTTGCTGACGTCTTTCTTCTTGGAATTTCAGTATCGAAGCTGGATCGGTACCTCCTTCGGCTAATGCTTTCAATCTACAATTTCATTAGGATTCCAAGAGGAAATATAATTAGGAAATATTTGGAAACGAGGAGAGAAGATAACGCAATTAAATCGCTCTTTTCTATCTTCATGGAACTATGTATATATATATGAGTTAATATTTCCTTTTTATTACATTTAACCGATAAAACAGAAATAACGCACAGTGAGATACAGAAATAATTTATTTCGTAATATTCATACTTGAATTAATTACTTAGTATGTCAAATAAAAATTAATTTGTCTTATTGACAGTGCATTCGTACGCCGGTATAGTTACCTTTTTATTTCTTTCTCTTCCATGTTGATCACACGCGCGCACTCTCTTAACGTCGAAGCTGCTGTCTGTTTTACCTCGACTGGCTATAATTAATAAATTCTACGATAATTTATAAACAGCCGTGATCAACTTTCGGATACAAGAAAGATGTAACAGAAGTTTGATTTCAAATCGATTCAAATAAATGAGAAATGTAAAGAAAGTTATAAAAAAATGATAAAATTTGCATAGACAGCAGATCTCGCCAGCGTTTTCTGCACCTTAAATTTCGGAACCGATTTTCCCACGAAAGTTGCCTTTGGTTTCTCTTTCTCTACCGAGTTGTCTGAATCTTTACGCCGATAGAAGCAACTTGGTGCATTCTCGTTCGCGTCCTTCAATAATCTCATAGCATTTATCCTGTTAGTTGCGCTCAAAAGCTCCAATTTTCTCTCCGTTGACGGTTTAAGGTAATTCGTCTTTGGAATTTGACGCGTGAACTTCATCGCCGACAGGTCCTATCCGGGATATGAGTCTTCAAAAGAGGAAACCTTAATTCAACGTCTTTAACTTATAAGTATAAAGTTCGTTTAATTTTATTAACTTCTCCATACCTATACGAAAAGAAATTTTATGAAAATTTTAGAAATTTTTTAAGAAGCATAGGAATACCTTTTGCAAGTCTTATCGAGAATTCTAGCGATCTTTTTGTAAAAAAAAACCGTTTGAAGGTCGCTGAAAGCCACCTAGCTGGCGCTGAAGGTCAATCGAAGGCCACTACTTGCTACTTCATAACGAGCGGTAAAGACTATTAGGCATAGATCGTTAAAAAGGTATTGGAAATTGTTTAGAAATCTTAAGCGATGTCATCCGATCTCAATTCAAAGACGAATCACAGTTATTTGGAAAAGCAATTTAGGTCGACTTGATTTTTATCGAAGGTGAATAAAGGAAAATTGAAAGTCGCGCGATTAATCGGCGAGTTAAATAGATGGCGGGAAATTTCAAAATGGTGCCGGTCAGTTGTTAAACGGACAATCTTTAATAAGAAAAAGCTCCAATCGCGGTACCTAACTAACCTAAAAATTGATAAATTAAATATACTTTGCAAATAAACATTAATCGCGTCTCAAGTTGTAACTAAGTTACTCACTTCAGGTGTACCGGGTGGCACTTTCAAACCGGTTCTTGGTCGATTTAAAACGTTCATAAAGACAGGAATAGTCGATTCCTTTTTAGGAATCTTCGTATTTCGTATGTGCTGCTTTAACTGCTGCTGTAGTTTCTTCAGATCGATTAAACAACAACTTAATTAGAACGAAACTCGTTATCCATTATGTCCAACAGAACCGCTGTAAAAAACGGTAGAACGAACCTCTAAACACGGCGTTGCCTCTAAAAATGGCAGAACCAGGTTTCCCTCCACGAAATCTTCCTCGTACGTCAAGCAACCCTTCTCATGGAAAAGATTGAGAGTTTCCGTGCGAAGAAGATATACAACGAGCGACAACATTTTCTTTACTTTAAAGCGAACGAAGCAATCGATCGAATCTTCGAAAAACAAGCTGCATATTCTGTATGATAAGATGTACACAAACACTGAAAAATGAAATTCTTAACTAAATTCTAAAATAATAATTATTATTTTATTAATCAAAATAGATAGATGATACTCATCTTCCGAAGAAAGAAATATATTTGCGATATTCGTTGCATATATATTTAACATAAATTGAATGTCATTCATTTTATTTGAAGAGACAGTAGAGGAGTTCGTAAGCGAAAAAATGAGAATAGGGGCTGAAGTAGAAAGAACACATAAGATAAGGGTGGGGGAAAAGAGCACAATAATAGCGGCGACGATGAAATCAATGGAGGAAAAAATAAGGATAATGAAGGAGAAAAGAAAACTGGAAAAGGGGATATACATAGACGACGATCTGACAAGAAAAGAAAGGGAGGTACAGCAACGCGTGAGAAGGGTAGCCAGAGTAAGAAGGAAAAAGGGCGAATATGTAAAGATAGGATATAAGGAACTAAAAATAGAAAACAGATGGTACAGGTAGAACGAAAATGAAGAGAGGCTGGAGGAGGAAAGAAAGAGAGGGGAAGAAAAATGAAAAAAGGGGAAAAAGGGGGGGACTACAAAGGGGATGAAAATGTGCTTCTGGAATGTAGCAGGGCTAATAAGTAAGGACAAGGAGGTGTGAGAATATTTGAAGACATTCGACGTGATCGAACTCACGGAAACATGAATAGAGGAAGGCAATTAGTAAAAATTAAAATATGGACTACCCAAAGAATTCGTTCATTTTATTTTCCATAAAGTATTATGGAAATAGTTATTCTCTGGTTATTTCATTACGAATACCTTCGTAGCTTACCTATGGTCTGAGACAAATCGTTGTAATTGCGACAGTTCTGTTTATCCAGATAATCTTTACTTATTGAGTCCAAGAAAACCGTGTAACGAACGATATTCATGAATAAATCGATGATTACATTTTGCAACGAAACTGACAAAGCCTTAAAAATCCAACATATTTATATACTTGTTCCGTGAGTGATTTTGGTAAACAGATTTCTTTAAATTTAACCTTAAATTCTTCGATATTCCTGAAACGTTCCATAACAGGATCGTGATGTGGTTTGCATTTTTCTCTCGAGCCTTCGTTAACAAACAAACGAATGCAAAACTCATCTGGACTTAATTCTTCTTTAAACGACGCGTACACGTCCAAGATCTCCATCAGTGGAATGAGAATGTTTAATCGGAAGACATTGATTTTCGTCAACTAAAAGAAGCAACGTCGAGTAAGTGAAAATTGAACACGTAAAAGTAAGATTATACCTCTTCCTCGCTGCAATCCATTGCTGAAAAACGACAATTACTTATCTTTAATCGAATAAACCAGTATCTCTTTTCTGTCTCAGATCGACGAAATGTTTCGTCGAACTTCAGAACGCGAAGGAGCTTTACCGATAAGTTCAGGACGTTTCAACGAATAATTCGATCTAAGCCATTCCAAAGGCTTGAATCAAACTTCAAGCGAGTTATTAGTTTTATACTCTGACGTTCCTTCTTTAGGAAATAGTTCAAAGATGTTTCCTATGATCGTTCCATTACCAAGTAAAAAAATACACGTAGTCAATGAACATTTAGTAGAAACAATCAATATCCCAAAGTTTAAATTAATTTCGAAGCAGGATAATACTCGTAGTCTCCTGTTCTCCTTCTTAAAGATAATTTCAAAATGTCCTCTGATATATAAAGCACAAGATACAAGGGAATACTCATGAATAATCGATATTCAGTAGAAATAGTCGATATTCCGAGGCTGGAGCCAAATTTAAAGTAGGATGTTACTCGCAAACTTTTGTTTTTCTTCTCAAAAAATAATTCAAAAATCAATCTTCAACGATCGTCTGAAAAACAAAAAGGAGATTCACGCGACCGATCGATATTTCTTAGAAATAATCAATACTCGAAAGCTCGAACCACGTTTCTTGTAACAGATAATTCAACGATTCGAATAACTCGAAAATTTAAGTTGTTTTTCAAAGAATCAGTAAAAATATACCTCTGATGATTATTTAAATAATAACGAAAAAGATCCACGGAGGCCAATCGACATTCGGTAAATCAATTTCGAACGACTTTATTTGTCAACGATTCGTTAATCGACCAACACAGTGGTACATGGAACAGACAACACGTTTTGTCTCGCACGTTTATTAACTCTCATTCATCAGCCTCCCTTCAAAGAAAAGTTAATCACTTTACACCTCAAACATCTTAGAAAAAGAAAAAAAGAAAAGGAAAAAAACAGGACACGTAACAAAAGTATCTGTACGTATAAACTATCCCTGAGAAAGAATTTGTACTCCGAGGCAGGGCAATACATATCGCTCTCGCTGCGCCGTTCGATGACTTTGAATCGCCTTAAAAATGGTTAACCCATTCACTGCCAACTAAGAGATATCTCGTGGTAAGCGTATGTACCAAGATTGCCAACTATCAGTTATCTCATAGGGTATTTTTTTGTTTGTAAATTACTATAAACGCCGTTTTATTACCGTATCTGCAATTGAATATTACTAGATTTTGTGAAATTTCATGTTTTCTTTAAAAGAAAATCTTGGCGTCTAGGGCAAGACGCTTCAAATTTGCCTGGCAGCGAATAAGCTAATACTATTACGCTACAATGCGTCCTAAGGAAAAATTCTGGACAAATCCATCGTCAGACATTGGACGCAAGTTACTGTAAAAATTATTGATTAATAAATTGCTGCAAAATATTATTTTTAACGATAATACTCGGTATGTTTAATTTTTTCACAAGGAACACTACTATCTTTCACTTTTCTACTGATATCTCACTAGTATCTCACTAATATCTCGCTATCTCTAAATGCGATAAGACGAATAGAAAAGTGAATTTTTTGTATTTAGTTATTTGTTTTTTGAAGAGTACCGCGTTCTTAATTAATTCGACTGGTTTCTCCCTACTCATTGGCAAGTTGTGCAAAATGAAATGGAACTGTGTTAGTAAGCTTGCTTTCTCGAGGCTCGTGTACTAGAAAAATCGTTCTGTATATTTCTGAAAACACAGGTATCGAAGTTTTATACTGTTTCGACTTGATTTTCCGCATACTTTTTTTTCATTATTCTTCTCTTATCTTTGTTTAATTTATCATGTTTTGTTTTTTGTATCTATATATCTATACATATATAAAAAGGTATTAAAGTAAAGTTTGTCGATCGATGACACTGTACAACAACAACAACATTGTCGAACAATGTACAATTTCTCATTGTTTCCTTTACCATTCTCCTTTATAATTATCGATCATACCGCGATATGCGAATAAATAAAATATACATTGAGTCGACGTTACCATTATTACAAATGAAGACCACTGTAGAAAAACATGGTAAGCTCATATTTGTACATTTTTTATTTTAATGCGAGGGAGAATACGTCAATGTGGTAGCTGAAGAAAAGAAAAATCTGATAGGTCGAAAGATATAATAACGATATTAATAAGCGACAGCTACAAAGCTTTTCATAAGATATAGAATTTGTTTTTCCGTAAAAGAACAATGACGTAACTAACGTTACGATATATTCTATATTCTACGGGTCGTTATTTTTTAAATATTTAACAGCATAGTGTTATTCAAATAAGAAGAGTGTCGAATTTTAAATTATTGTTCCACGAAAAGTGGAAAACGTGGTTTATCATGTCTTTGCCTGGTGGTCCTCAAATACATTTGTTCGAAGAATCTCCAGTCGTCGCGAGAGAAAAGAAATTTACGCTTTATAACAACTATAGCACAAGAATTATCATCTTACAAACAATTTTTTTAACAATAATCATTTATGACAATCACAATGTGTAGAAATGGTAAAAAAATTTATCAGTGCCAAGACCATCGATAGCGTAGTACAAAATGACCAATATGCCTCATCGTGATGATGTTGATGATCTAAATATTTAATACAAATTTGTTTTCTCTGATTTAATCGTACAGTATATTCAAAAAATATATTCGTTTCGCTGTTTCGTATTTAAAACGCTGATCACTATATCACAGATTTGATACAGTTCCATCCACGTAACTATAATACAAAAAATCACAATCGATACGTTCGAACAAAATTCAATCGAACTTTTAACTCTTAACTTGTACTATTGGATTCGCAAGCGGCGATTTAATTCCATACAAAGTAAGAAAGAAATTTCGAGCATTTCACGTTGCATTTTCTACTCCATCGCAAAAACTAAGGAGTACAAAATAAAATTTATCTCCAATATTCCACATAACAGAAATCATTAATCGCTTTTATTGCGTGAAATGTAAATTCGAATAAAATAATTAATGACCTCTTGGTGTAACAAAATGACGAAAAATTGAAAATTAATGATACAGAAATTGCATGCATAATAACATTCAGTAGCGTATTATATATCAAATTCTTAGTCTTAAATACTTAGAAATTAAATGATCTAATAGAAATTATTACGTACGATCCAACGATACCAATTAAAAGTTGAAAGTCACGCAATATTCCGTCGGCGAGAAATTACATTTTCGAATAAAATCCACGCGATTGTCTTTTCATATTGCACGATCGTCGAGTATGATCATTGTCATTATAATATTATACACTTTTCAACGTCTATCGGCCAACACTCTGTTTTGTACGTCATTTTGATTGCTTTCCTTTCTTGTCGCATGAGTTATGTATACACATATATATATATTACGCGAGTTCGCAGTAACAATCAGTTTTCACCTTTCTTTTTTTAAGGAAAATTCGTGTATCTACTCGAATAATCTATACATCTATCATATATATAAATCTACGGTTACGTCCTGTTCAGGACACGAACAACTAACACTGTTAATTATTCATAACATAGGCGATGATATATTATAGACACGTATCGCGCGACATACAATTGATCACAAAAATATCCATATTTTATAAACAGTAAAGTTTAATTTAAAAAATTAATCTTTTTATCTATTTCTTTTCGTTATAATTCAATTATAGATAATATGAGGACGGCATATACTCATGCGATGGCCATTAACTGATAAATTATGCGCAGATTTTTAAAATCGAAAAATTTGAACATCTTTCTTACATATATCCATGAAATATTTTCCCTCGTAATTTCAATCTATGAAATGAGATCCATTTTAAAATATTTATCCATTCGTTAATCGTCAAAATTAAAATGGTAAGACTTTGCGAGTGTATTTGAAAGATGCTCCGTCTTTCGTACTAAGTTCTTAATATACAATATATTGCTATACGGTCTATTTTTGTTTTCGAATCACGAGGTCGTGTATTACTACTGTATGAGAAAATAAAAAATAGTTGTTGAAAAAAGATCTTGAATTATTTCTGTTTTCACCGATATGTCGTCTCAAGGTGGTCGAACCACTTTCATGACCAACTGTATATCAATGTACAATTCGATCACAATTACCAATTTCTCAAAAACTTCTTCCCCCATAAAATCAAGTAATTCTTGCAAAATTACCCCATGGAAAACTATTTTATTTGCCTGAAATCGTGCTGTACTCGATATTAGCATCATTCTAATATCGACAACAGTACGACGAACGTAGAAATTGGTAATTGTAATCCCCTCAAGGGCACGAGATTTATTACCCTGTTCGTGGAACTAGAAAAATTCGCATTATCGATTTAGAGACGGATCACAGATAACGAAGTACCCTTTTCTGAATGCGGAACGCGAAAATTATGCTAAACGAAGGATTCGAACAATAGTGAATGTAACGCGCAAAGATTCGTATACGATTCGTTCGACAGAAATGTGGTAGGCTAATAAACAACATTAACATTAACATTAACAGTAATCTAAAAAATTAAAAAAAGAAAAAGAAAGAAAGAAAAGACCGGCTCTGTCCAAATGAATAATCATTGCCTATATGATCGCGTAGATGTCATGATCCTGATAATACCGCGCGTGTATATATATACATACAAGTAAAAAGTATATTAACAACGATTTATACAACGAACTAGCCTAATTACGTGCTAAACGCCTTAATGATCGACGTGATGCTTTCGTATGTCCCGGTAACGAAACCGAGTAGACCGATTAGTACTATCAGGATATCTTTCGATATCGTAAACAAGCCCAGTGATGCGTTCTGCCAGCATACAACCATTTCGATGATTGGTGGAAATACGAGTGCCAAGGCGGTGCTGCTTACTGCGCCGACCAATGATATGAACAGACCCAGTTGAGGTATCGCTTCAGCTAGGACAACTGTAATTAGATATAACAGGTGAAATTAGTATTAAATATATTTAACGTTAATCCTAGGACGTTTGAAGGAGAATCAAAGAATGTCCGCAGAACTTCAAACGTTGGTAAACCTTTGAAATCCTTCAGCGTCCTAAGGTCAAATTAAATTATACATACAGATTTGATATTAAATTGGTATTTTCCTCGATTTTGTTAAATAGATTACGAATATTTGCGTGAACTCATATTTTCATGACTACGGCCAAAGAAACCAGATCCAATTAGAAATTGTTTTAACTTTTAAGAATTATAATAAATACGTGTAGTTATATCGAGCGTATACCGAAGTTGAGCGAGAGTGTGAGTGAGAATAAATTAAATTCGGTTTGTAGCCGGCAGGCGAAAATTAATTACAACGAATAATCTACTTTTTACGTAAAGAAGTTTTGTAATTTTAAGAAAGATAACGTCAAATTGATATTTCAAATAAGAAATCTTCTTAAACGAGACCGTGATCGAGTCGAAGGACAAAAGGAGGTTAAGAAAAGGAAGGATGCTGTGAAAAAACTTTGTGATTCAGAGTGTTTAAAATATTTTTCTGCAGCTGTGTTTATACGATTTAAAACGTTTAGAGTATTTATTATAATTTCAAATCGTTTAAGGGTTTAAAATAATCGAACATGAGAACCAAGGTTCGAAC